TTATATATTATTCCCTGATGAGGTAGCTAGAAAGGTTAACAGTCTGGATACTAGAAACATAAGTTTATATGTTTATAATTTCCAAGCCAATTTCTATGTTAGAAACAGAACCAGTCAATGTTTTTATCTGTCATCTATTATTCAGGAATCAGGGAAAATAAACACTTGATCTGGTACACCATCAACTAGGAGTAAATTGAATGAGGAGACCTACAAAGGCACTTTATTGACCTATATGGAATTCATGTGCTTTTATGGGCGAAACAACAATAAATGAGTAACAATTAAGTTGACCTATACCATACTAAATTTGTGTAAAGGTCTATCCTTTATTCGGCTTTAGAACTATCCTTTGTTAAAGACCATATAAGGAAATATCAAAAGGGTACAGTTGAATACTACATGGAGTTGGTCAGATGCAAAGGTCTCGAAACTGTTGGCATATCTGTCTTTGTTTATTGCACAATGTTCACAGGGAATTAACATGGGGAATTAACATGCATGATGCATATTGTTAATGTTACAGCTCTGTTCTCTCTGATGATAGGTATAAATGAGGAGTCTTCTGCGTGGATGACATAAACAACTACTTCTAGCACCTAGTGAATAATAATCATGGGTGACATAAACACTTGCCAGACTAACACTGAGTGATATTAAAGGAATTCCACTGAGGTTTATAAGCGTAAAAACATAAAAATTTAATTTTTCACATAGATAAACATTAGCACTTAAAACAGAAAGACAAATAAAATATAACAAAGAAATATACAAGACATACATTGAAAACCATATGTTTGTGCTATGCTTAGTCCGATTTGAGTGAAAAGCATTTAAACGCTTTTCAATTTGGAGTCTTTTTTCACTTTTATAATAATTATTCTAGAAAATAGGAGCGAACTTATGATCTGATATTTTGCATATAAGTTATTAGTATAGATCTACATCAAATCTCAAAAAATTATTTCCAGTCCCGTCATGTCAAAAAAATTCAGTGGAGTCCCTTTAAAGTATTCAAACTACCAGAGGAGTGAAAGTTACTGAGTGTATCAGAGCTGAGGGATGACTGAATTTCTAAATTGGATAAAAAAAGAAGAAGAAAAGAAGCAATTGCAATGACCTTGCATAAAAATGTATTTGAAATCAATATGTGGAATTATTTGGCCTCCAACAAAAGGCATGATAATAGATCATAATGCAATATTTAATATACTCTAAGACTTAGTATTTTATCTCCCCCATCTTAATTTAGAGAATGTTCAATTATTATGCCCCCATTTCGAAGAAAAGGGGGTATATTGCTTTGCACTTGTCGGTCCGTCGGTCCGTTGGTCCGTCGGTCCGTAGACCAAATGGTTTCCGAGTGATAACTAAAGAACCCTTAGGCCTAGGAACTTCAAACTTGGTATGGTGATTGGTCATGACCAGTAGATGACCCCTATTGATTTTGGGGTCAAGGGGTCAAAGGTCAAGGTCACATTGACCTTGTAAGCAAAAAACGGTTTCCGATCAATAACTAAAGAACCTTAAGGCCTAGGAACTTCAAACTTGATATGGTGATTGGTCATGATCAGTAGATGATCCCTATTGATTTTGGGGTCAAGGGGTCAAAGGTCAAGGTCACATTGACCTTGTAAGCAAAAACGGTTTCCGATCAATAACTAAAGAACTTTAAGGCTTAGGAACTTCAAACTTGGTATGGTGATTGGTCATGATCAGTAGATGACCCCTATTGATTTTGGGGTCAAGGGGTCAAAGGTCAAGGTCACATTGACCTTGTAAGCAATAACGGTTTCCGATCAATAACTAAAGAACTTTAAGGCCTAGGAACTTCAAACTTGGTATGGTGATTGGTCATGATCAGTAGATGACCCCTATTGATTTTAGGGTCAAGGGGTCAAAGGTCAAGGTCACATTGACCTCTTGGGTAAAAACGGTTTCTGATCAATAACAAAAGAACCCTTAGGCCTAGGAACTTCAAACTTGGTATGGTGATTGGCATGACCAGCAGATAACCCCTATTGATTTTGGGGTTAATGGGTCAAAGGTCAAGGTCACATTGACCTTGTAGGTAAAAACGATTTCCGATCAATAACGAAAGAACCCTTAGGCCTAGGAACTTCAAACTTGGTATGGTGATTGGTCATGACCAGCAGATGACCCCTATTGATTTTGGGGTTAAGGGGTCAAAGGTCAAGGTCACATTGACTTTGTAGGTAAAAACGGTTTCCGATCAATAACTAAAGAACCCTTAGGCCTAGGAACTTCAAACTTGGTATGATTATTGGTCATGACCAGTAGATGACCCCTATTGATATTGGGGTTAAGGGGTCAAAGGGCAAGGTCACTTTGACCTTGTAGGTAAAAATGCTTTCAAATCAATAACTTAAGAACCCTTTGGCCTAGGAACTTCAAACATGGTATGGTGATTGGTCATGACCAGCAGATGACCTATTGATTTTGGGGTCAAGGGGTCAAAGGTCAAGGTCACATTGACCTTGTATGTTAAAACGGTTTCCGATCAATTAACTAAAAACGCTTAGGCCTAGGAACTTCAAACTTTGTATGATGATTGGTCGTGACCAGCAGATGACCCCTATTGAGTTTTGGGTCAAGGGGTCAAAGGTTAAGGTCATGACCAGTAGATACTTGATAACCCTTATTAATTGTTTGATCACTGGGTCAGAAGTCATAATAACCTTATCACATGACTAATTGGCTGCTGATAGGGGGCATACATGTTTTACAAACATATCTTGTTTAACAATTGAAGATAAGCCAAGCACAAAAAGGTATAGAATTATTTAGCAAGAGCTGTAATGATTGATGTAACTATTTTATCTAGTGTAGATTTTTACGGATTCTGCAAAAGTCATAGTTATGAAATTATTATAAAGACAATTAATAGAATTAGGGATGAAAGAATCAAGGAAAAATGATATTGATTGGTAATAATTAGATTTAGATATTGTTATAATAATGATTAAGTCGAAAAGACATATTAATTTCTGATACTTTATTTATTTGAAAATACTTAGCCCAATAGGTCTAAGAGCATTGGATAAGTGACATCCTTGAGTCGCTGGTTGGATGGATCGAACTCATATGACCAAAACAAGTTAAAATCAGCATGAAAATCAGACAAACAAACAGAAAATCTATGTTACCTCTCTCCCTGTAATTTTCTTTACCCTCAATAGCACATATTTTTAAGGTTCTTTGTTGTTGTAATAATTAATTTGCCCCTTGCTCCACCTTTGATTAACCCTATGCCTCAGTGCAATGATATTGTAGTGGTTGCATTACCGGGAATCACCATTGACTGCCTTGACTCTCATATGTTCAATTATACTACAATGCTGTAACAGTCTATTAAAACTACTGGGTAATGTCTTTATTATTCATAAATATTTCATGAATAATCTTTCAAAGTGACTGATTGATAGTTAATTGCGTAGAAACCTGATCAACTTGGTCATTAAATTTGATTTTTCATCCTTTAAAAACTATAACATATGCTGATCATATAAAAACAATATAAATTTTTTAAAAGGAATTACATACCTTAATCCTATTTCAATGTACAATTAAACAGAATAATTAGTTTCCATGTCTCTATCTGACAGCCTATGAATGTATAAATTTGATATTCATTTGAATAATACATGAACATAGTTGGATATTGCATGTCATATAATAAGTCTGGAATGACTATACCATGTGATAATATCTGTTCATAAACCTACAAACCAATTAATTCCATATACAGATCATTCAATAATTATTAATTGACCCATTCATCATAGTTATAGGAATTGAGTCTCCATACACTTATCAATTATGTCATGGGTATTCAAATATTCATGGCCACACGGAAGCTTTATGGGCAGTAATTTTCATTCATTTAATGATATAATAAAATAAAACAATAAAATACCGCCAGGTGATAACTCAGAATTATTGACTGCATGAACAAAAGTTAAATTTTATTTTATTAGAGTTTGTTATTGAAATATAATAAAAATATGTATTAAACTTCAACAAATATGTTTTTATGGCACCTTTGTGTATTTTAATATTAGATGTCTACGTCGGAATGCTTACAAATTATTCTGTCATTTCAATGAATGACGGTGAAACCATAAAGTGACTGGATTTGAAATATTTTCTAAAAGTAATTAATAATTCCCTTTTTATGATGCCTATATTGAATATAATTATTCTTTTGAAGAATCTTTGAATATATTTTATTTATAAATGTCACATAACTACTTTAATCATATGTATAAATTTATTTGGTTTGTCTAGGAATGAACTGTAAATGTCCATGGAAGATGATTTAGTGTTCTGTTTTATTGTTTATATGGAACTATATTTAAATCACAATTTCTGATCTATATCAGATTTATTAACTTCTGTTTTTAATAAGTTTAATGAATCTATTTTGGTATTTCTTAAGGGGAGCGGTGGCCTAGTGGTTAAGGTACCTGCCTCTCAACCCAGGGATCATGGGTTTGAGTGCTAATCTGGTCACAACCATGTTTCTTCACTCCAGTACTGGTTGGTTCCAGGAAGCGGACTCAAAAGTGATTAATATAAGTTGCAAGAACTTGTTGCGCAATCGAGCTTCAATAAATATATTTAAACCAAATCAATGAATCTATAAAAAAAGTTTGTGATTGTGCTTTTTATACTTTTTTGAATAAATAGTTTCTTTAAGCCTTACATTATCTGAAGCCAAAACTGCAAAGCCTTTAATTGCCAGTATGCAATTAATTTATGGCAAAAATCATAAGTATAGCTTTTTTGTTGGTAGAACAGCTTTCAAATCTTCATTGTTTCATCTCTAAACCTGATAATATAGGCTGAAACTGGCAACCGGAACTGAAACTGGCAACCAGAACTGAAACTGGACAACCAGAACTGAAACTGGTTAAGTTCATTCAGAAAATTCAGCATATTAAGAATTATAGTATTTAAAACGTTTTCTATTTTTACAGGTGTGAACCTGAAAGTGAAAGCTTCCTTGCAACTCAAGTGACCAATGAATTTTAGGTATGTAAAAATTTTACTGACCATATTATGTATAAATGATTTTTGTATGAGCAAATATCTTATTTTATCAAGAACTACATAGACAGTTGTAAATTTAAAGAGTCTGGGTATATATCTGTAATTAGATATATTCTTGTATTTTTGGCAACACATTTTTAACTTGGGACTTTTTTATCTTTAAAAAGATAACCAATCCTATAAACATATTTTTCTTGTGAGTTTGAATGGATTCCTCACAGTCTTGTGTTAAAAAGTGGAAAATGTGTATTTTTTTTTAGTTTTAGATATTTATTTAAAAGCAAAAGAAACAAAGCAGTTATAACATTACTAGAATTTTATTATTTTAAGTATCTTGATAATATTTTCATTTTATGTTTCAATAGAAATGCATTTTTTTATTTGTTTTCTTTGGTGTTTTTCTAAAATTTCATATTATTTAAAAGTTGTCATATAATTATGCAGAATATTTCAGTTATATCATTATAATGTATTATTTGTAGGGTTCATGACCTTAAAAATGTCTTTTACTGCAACATTAACAAAGTGTTTCAAATTTAAGACAATGTCACATGGTTGGAAACACAATTAAAAACTATACTAGAAGATGATGGATGATATTATTTCATGGTTCAACAAAAATGAGAACATTTGTCTTAATGTCATTATTGGTACAAAAACTTGATGTGTTTTCATTCCTTGCAGGCAAGTTTGCATTATTCCCTTGCATATAACTGTCAAACTTGAAGCTATTAGAATCACTTATCATCATTCCTGGAGGATTTATACTGATGCATTGTTAACTTTGCTGCCATCTTTTCTGATAGGCCCAATAACTTATTGCTTTCTGGCAATAGAATATATTAACAACTCTCTTTTTCAATTATATCAAAGAAAGTGGCAAATGATTTTGGACAAATTTTTTGTAATCAGTCTGAAAAAAAAGATGGAGTTTATATCTAAAGTTATCACCTCTGTCCTGAATCATGCCAGTTTGTTCAGGAAACTCATTTGTCTAGTCATCACTTCAGACATGAGCAACTTTTTACCTTTCAGCTATAATGATTTAAACAATAAAGTTGCTTATAGGCAATGTCAGATGTGGAAAATGTTATAGAGGACGCCCAATTGTACCTGAGTTAAAGGGACTTAGCGTCAAGTTGTTTTATTTTTACATGACATGGGACCGGGGATATTTTTCGATATTTACAGTCAAACTTCAATTAGTTGATTTTCTTGATGTGTCAAAGTAAAATGAAAGTCCTGATATTTTCCCCTAAACATTGTTTATAAAAACCTATACACGAGTCGAAATTTTATGTGTCCAATTTTTCGATGTATCATGTTTTCTTATGGTTCCGTATAGAATAAATTAAGTACAATTTACCATCAATAATAAGGCGAAGTCCTTAGATTATTATGACACTTTCGATCTTGGGACATTTTTCACACCTTTTCTGGTTGCGAAGATGATTTATGATCAACTTGTGTGACAGGTGTTAATTACACAGTTGTGTGTTCTAACAGCCTTTGTATGCATAAACATGTGTGATAAACTGCACTTCTTGTTATTAAATTATAAAACAGTAAAATGAGTTTTGTTTGTGAAGTACCATGACCCTGTGCCGCGTGAAACGATATATTTACTATAAGCTGGTTTAGTTATCGCCCTTTTCTTTTGTTACACCTTTTGTAATTTGCTTGTAAATGTCAAATGCTCTAAATTTTATCATAAAATTGAGACTAATTCATGACTCCAAGACCCGTTGTGTCAAAGTTTTTACAGAAGTTCCTTCAACTGCGACTTACCGAAGTTCTACTGTATATACAATATGTAGGTTTTATACTAAAAACTTGTTTGCAAAATTTCAGGACATAATAAAGCTCTTTCTGTTTTGTTTTTTCTATATACTGTGCAAAAATGACCTGAAATTGAAAAGTGTTGAAATGCTTTGAACTCAAAAGATACCAAGAATCACAGTAAATATTGATTTTTAATGAAAATTTTAGGTATATCTCTAATATCTTTTTTTAATTTTCGTTTTTTAAATGCCAAATTTGATCTACCAGGGTATGTAAGATTCAAAATTTATATGTTTTTAAAGGCTTTTAGACCTCATTAAAACTTCTTTAATGTGTGCAGATGCAGTGATGTCTCCTACCATTAGAAAAAGATACAAAAACTTATCTCTTCATGTAACTTAAAATGTAAAATGTAATGTTCAGATATTTATATATATGTATATATATTATATATATAAGATATGGTTACGTTCCATTTCATCATTTTTGTGTCGCCTCTACAGAGTAGGAGCAACATATACGGATCATTATTCTCCATCGTCTGTATGCCCCTCTGTTCATGAAATTTTTTTCATGTGTTTGCCATGCAAATGATTTTTGTGTCTCTTGCTACATAGTAGCTGCAACTTGCAAATGGCTGTTTATTTTAACTTTCTTTATTATGATTTTATCAAGATCCTCATAGATTTTAAAATTTTCATAACCAAAACATATATGGTTAAAATGAACATTTCATTTGGAAAACTAGATTTATATTCATATAATCCATCTGTTCTATATAATTTTACATGTCCTCATCTCTAATTAATTTGATATGATGGACATTTTAGAGGATGCATCTAGAGGGTCAAAGTGAAAATGTCACCATATTAACTTTATAGTGTTACTCACTGTGTAACTGAAAATCCAATTTAAAAGCTTTGTTTAGCTTGGAATTAGGACTTGTCCCTGATTGAATTCAGGGGCATATAAGATGGGAACTGCTTACATTATAGAGTTTCAGTCTAGAATGACCTATGTTTTTTCTGTGGTAGCACAGTCATGTATGTCAGATTAATACTGTCTGTGCACACATGGTGAAGGTATAGTGACCTGTAATTTGCAATGTAAATCTGATGATGAATTGGGATATCATCATTTTTTTGCAATCATTTATCAATGGCCATAATTTTGTGTTGCTGATTTCTCCAGATGTCTGAAGAATGCTAAAGAGCTTGCAAAACATATGAATGGCTTGGAAATTTCCTCCTTTCCATTCCTTTGACTGCATGGATCAAATATGAACAAGACTTCCTAGTGCTGTAATAACTGCATATTATTCTGTATGCCAGACTGTGTTTTCAATAACAAGAATAACACATTGAAGTGTCCTGGGATGCATGCTTCCTTTTAAATGAAATGTATGGATTTACAATACAGAAAGTCAAATTCTCCAAAGTGAGTATTCAAGAAGTGAGTATAGAAGATGATATGGCCTTCCTATATTGTTGTTTCAAATTGCACTATGTATAACTATAGCTTGATGCCTGGATTCAAGTAAATCAGAATAAATTACCATCAAAAATATCTTTCAGGTGATAGATGTCTTTATGAATGCTGTTTCATAGAAATAGTAGGAGCAATTTTTTGCACTTCTTTCTTATAACAATACTTTTTAAAATTGTTCAAATATGCTTTATCTAATGACTGTTTATGTTAATGACAGATTGTTGTTTAAGTGCAAATTAAAGATTATTATTCATAGTTTTTCAAAATTCAAAAATCACCTTCAATCAGTACTTTAAAGTACTTTGATTCAAGTCATACCTGCTTAAGAATTGCTGTGATATTTGACCTGGTCAGTTTGTGGGCTGTAAACTTCTTTCCTAATTATTTATATACTCCCTTTCATCCATATAATATAGCTTAATTTGATTCTGATCTAAAATTAAGCAGATTACAAGTTTGATCATATCAAATGAAACATGCTGACTTACTACTATTATTGTTGGCAGGAACACTATGATATTGGGGAAAAGAAATACATCAGAATTTACAGGCTATAAATGAGAGCTTAAAAGCAACATTCTTGGACATCCAAAACAAATAAATCATTGTACACTTGAAGGGTATCATAGAATAAACACCATATGGCTATAAGAGCACTGATACACATTTTAGTACAGGTTAAAATGAGCAGGTGAATTATAGTTCTCTTTATTAGAGTTTGATATTAAACAAATCTCCTATCAAAGTGGTAAATCTTGAATCTTGCTTTAACATGATCTCAGATCAGAGGTATTGTTTCTCTTAACAGTGTATAAAGAACCAGGTCTTATGGTCTGTGAAAAACATAAGTTTATATAAACATGGCAGGGAAATATTTAGTTGATGGTGCCACTGACTGATCATAAGATCTTAGAGAGCTGATTGGTTTATTTCTATCTGTCAGACAAAATATTCAACAGTATTTTCTGGGGAGATATTATTTTCTTATATACAAAAATTTGATAATTTGTCTGATAACCTTCTGTTGATAACAAGATTGTATCTAAGGTTCTTAATTCCTTTGTTACCTTAAACAACTTTTGTGTAAATATTTGACCTTTGAGTTTATTGTTCTGGAAAAAGTTTCTTTGTAACTCTTTTGCAGATGTATTTTGTTTGTTGTTGGTCACAGTTTTGCTTAAAAATATTTTTATTGTTTTATTGATTCATGAAAAAAAATGATACTCTAATTTATATGTTTTCATGAGAATGCTGTTCAAGATAAAGCTAAAAATCAAAGTCTAGTCATGCAGAATTTAAAGACTCTGGAAAGTTGATTTGTGAAAATTAATTCATTTGATTGTACACATAAATCTTAGAGAAAAATAAACCTTTTTTTAAATGTTTATAGGACTATATTTTTTATTTAGTTAACCAGTCTAGACAGCATTTTTAACATAGTTTGACTTATATTTTATTTCCTTCAAACTATAATTCTTGTTGTGTGCATATATATAGATGGTTTTTGAACTTGGATTGTTAATTTTTATATAATATAGTATTAAAGCTCAGAAAATTTGAAAAAAGGCATTCAAAGCTACAATAAAAGCACTAATTATCAAAATAATAATTATATCTATTTGTGATAAACCTTTTGGCTGTAAACTTAAAAATCAACAGACGTGAAGGCAGTTAATAGTAATAATACAATCACAGGATATCTGGAAAATGGA